ATATACTTGTATTCCCTTCTATAAACATCTTGAGATCACTAGTCTAGGGATGAGAATAATGATCATAGCTAACATCTACATGGCATACTCCTCATCACAGCCCTGCAGGGTAGGTGTTATTATAATCTCCATTTTCTAAAGGAGGCAACTGAGGTGCAGAGTGGCTGAGGAATTCACACAAGATCACACAGCTAATAACTGGTAAAGCTGGGATTTAAATTCAGGAAATCTGGGCCAGGTGTCATGGCTCATGCCTATAATTTCAGCACTTTGGGAGGCTGAGGAGGGTAAATCACCTGAGGTTAGGAGTTTGAGACCAGCTGACCAACGCGATGAAACCCTGTCTCTACTAAAAACACAAAAACTTGCTAGGCATGGTGGTGCATGCCTATAATCCCAGCTATTTGGGAGGTTGAGGCAGGAGAATCATGTGAACCCAGGAGGCGGAGGTCGTAGTGAGTTGAGATTGCACCATTGCCCTCCAGCCTGGGCAACAAGAGAAAACTCTGTCTCAAAATACTACTACTACTGCTACTACTAATAAATGAATGAATAAATAAATGAAAATGAATTCAGGCAATCTGGCCCCAAAGTCGGTGCTGCAACCTCTGTGCTAAATCCCAAGTTGCTTGCACTGTAAGATTTAAGTAGACATGCTGCTTGCCCTGTCCTCCAGTACTTTAGTAGGCTCCCAGCTCACGGAGGAAAGGTGTCCCAGCCTCTTTGCCATCAAGTGAGGGCTGGTGCAAAGAAACACATTATGATGGGGGTCACGGGGCCTGTGCTGTTTAAAATGCAAGGAGTCCTGACTCCAGACACAGATTCAAAGTCAGCTTGGAGCTTCAAGGGAAAGTAAAACCTGCATAAAAATGTTGGAAAGAGGCATTCAAGAGGATGGTTGCATGGAAACGACAGGCACAAGCAGAGAGGATAAACTGAGAACAAGACAAGGCAGGATAGAGAAGTAAGTTACAGGAATTTAAAACATAAGGTTTCTGCTCAGGATCAAAATTAGAATCCTGCAACAGAGTGCAAGAGTGAGGTGTCATCTTGGTTTAACCACACAAATTTCTGTTTGGGGCAGTAACTAGTTGGTTCACCAGTAAATGTCTTTTTTCAGAGGCCCAGAGGAACTTCTTTTAAAAAGACCAGGGTAGCTTCACACTAACTTTGAGATTATTCAGACATGCATTTAATGTGACTATAAAATAAAAATTCAAGGTTACATTAAAACAATTATTTTTTTTTCTTATTTGGGGGGAGAGTCTGTTAGGAATATTAAGAAATCCTACAAGGAACCTACATCTTAGAGGGAATTTTTATAATGCCAGTTCTTTTGTGGTATTTCTTGTTACCATCCACGAACACACTCTGCTACCTGAAATAGTCTACTTTTCATGAAGATACTTCTCTGGGTTTCCATGCAGTTCCTGTTCTTTTCCCTCCACCACATTCACTCTCCTTCCTCACAACTCATGCCCCAATTTCCTTACACATTTTCCTGAGAGTTTTGTTTCCAGTGCCCTCCTCACTACTCATGTGAACTTCTCTCCACCGGCATCAATTCCAGCCACTTCTCTTATCTAATATCTCTCCACTTACTTTGTTCCAAATTTTAATTCTGCTGAACCCTCCATGAGTCTTGAACCTCTCTTCTGTTGACTTCTTGTTCCTGCAGTGCCCAGGTTCTCCTGGCCTTTTTCTGCCTCATGATGGGTTGAACCCCCTCTTAACCTCCAGGAAGGCCCCCCTGACACGCTGTTCTCCCTCATTGTGATCTGAAACATTCTCTCATTTGTAGCTTAGGGTAAATATTCAACATTCATTGAATTCTAAAAACTGTGTGAATCCATAAAGGATGTAAGACTAGAAAATGTGTCAACCAAACATTTTGCTTGCAGGGCTTCAAGAAGATAAAGTAAACAAACAAACAAACAAACAAAGGCATATAAAAGATCCAAAAAAGAAAATCAGGAAGTTGAGAAAAACAAAGAGGCTATTAATTTCAGATACATATTGTCACAGAACATTGTTAAGGTTAAGAATAGCTTTTAAGTATAAGAAGCACATTACTTCTACATTTTATTAAATGAACACTTTGTAAATAAAGATTTAGCAGCTTAAATGATAATTAAAAACATAAAATCAACTAATCGAAATTTCATACAGAACTCTGGTATGGTACTTGCAAAAAGATAGTGTTGCTATTGTGTTATAGAAAACTACACAAAGAGTTAAAGAGAAAAAGTAAAAGAATTCATTGATCAGAATCATATGTCTTTAATAATAATAATAGCAGTGATTTTAACATGTTTCTATAATATTTGATATTTTTGAAAGCATGTTCAAATGTGACACCCATGTTTGAAGCTCACCATAATAGTGAGATATTGGTAGAGTAGTAGCTACTACCTATTTAATCACTGAGGAAAACCAACAAGTTAATAATTTGTTTAAAATTAAATGTTCTGCTCTCATTACAGTCATTATGTCTAGGAATAAAATACATGAAACTTAATATATTTTGTTTCATTTAAATAGCCTTAATGATTATCAATACCTTCTTGGTCAAACACTCATAACTGAAATACAAGAGTTTTTGACACTGGGTCAATAAAAAATGATTTTAAATTCCTAGATTTTTCTCATTATTGTTTACTGCAAACTTTAGTGAAATAGAAAAATTATTGGTTTTAGCTTTCAGAATGTGCATATGTATGTATATACACAGGCATACACATACAAGTACATTTATATGTCTGAAAAGAGCAGAGTGCTACTTAACTCTTGAGCTGAGAAGAAATGGTGGCACTCAGGTGGACCTAAATGTAAATATGTAAGAACACTCATGTCTTAAATTCATTTGCTTCTCATTCAAGTAGCTTATAAAATAGAAGAAATCACTGAGCATATATGGACATAATCCAAATGCAGATGATCATTTGTAAATGTGGATAATATAAATAATATCTGCTCTAGCTACTTCTTTTGATAAACAGGGCATTTGTGAAAGAGCAGTAGCAATAACGACAAACTATGCCTAAAGTGTCAATAAGTACTATTGCATTCTTTCGTTTTTGACATTGTTACTCTTTATAGGAGATAAAATAAAAGTAATATAAAATTATCTGGACTATACACATTTATAAATGGAGTAAATTTACATAAAATAGTGGTTGAACTTTACAATTTAATTCCCTTCATTATTATCATGAAAAATACATGTTTAATTTATTCTTTAATCTGCTTTCTTATGAAATGCAAGCTTTGATATGGTACAATTTTAATTTAAAGTATTATTATTTTTAAAAGGCCTCATTTAAATATTTTTTCAGTTCAGCTAGTACCTAACAAGTCTGTCATAATTATCTTACAAACCAAATCAAGAAATGTCAGTGGGTAGGTGGTAGGGTTTAAATACATTTGTACATGATTCGATTGTCACACTGCAAGGACATCAGTGGTGGAAAAGATGGTTGCCTAGGCTGGCATTACACAGGGTTGCCAGGCCCTGATGGAGACAGAAGGTAGGCTTATCAAATTTTAAAGTGGCATAAAGCTGAGAGATATTTCATTGGAAAAGAGGATTCATATCATTTTTTAAAAACAAAAAGCCCTCAAACAATAGAATGGTATTAGGGATTAAAATCCAGAAAGATGAACTTTAACAACAAGGATCAGTTCCTACTCTGTGATTCAAAAAGGCAACTGTAGAATGACAGGATAGGTAAAATCTGACTTAGGAGTTTTCATTAAAATAAAAAAGGAGGAGCATTTAATTGACCACCTGTCAGTACGAGTCAAAAGTGCAATACCAGACAAAAAAGCATTGGCTCAATCTTAGGCCATAATAGAAGCAGGTTGTCTGTGGTACGGGGTGTACTTGCCTCATTTTGCTTTGCTCTAAGTAAGACTACATGTATCCAGTCTCATTCTTGACACCTTGGGAAAGTCAATGAATGTTTTCTGGCAAAGACTATTGGCATGTTGGAGAGTCCAGAATCCATATAAGAGAACAAGCTAAGAATATTGGGATTTTATTAACTTCATAAAAGGTAAACTTTGGTACAATACACCACTGACCCTCAAATACTTGAAAGAGTATAACGTAGTTGAGGAAACAGACTTTTTTTACGGAAGGCAGAACTGGGAATAATAAATGAGAATGTCTAAAAAACATATTGGGTGTTAATGATAAAAAAGAATATGAGACTAGAGTCAGAAGCTCAAGTTTAGGCAAATCATCTAAATACTGTAAGTCATGAAATTCTCATCAGCAAGGGAACAGAAGTTGACAGTACCAGTAATATTTAGCACAAAGACTGCCATAAATAATCATCTGAGAAAGCACACAAGATTTTTTTGAGACTTTAAAATGATTTGAAAATGATAATAGTAACAGTAAACTACAAGAATGGGGTGTCTATTGTTCATATGAAGCTGACTGTTTGCCATAACACTGCAGGGCTTCCTTTTACTGGGGAACGATGAAATTGAACTGGACTCAAAATAGAAGCTTATTGCTGTACTACCAATTGCAATTACAATTTATTCGCAATTTTGTCTCAGTTAAAGGCAATAAATGGCAATGAAAGGAAACTTACAAAAGGCCACTAAAGTCAAAAATTTAATTTGGATAAAGAATGTATTAATATCCACAACCTTTACAGAATTAATAAATAGGCTGGACCCCCACAAAGATACTCATCAACTTAACTCAAAAACTAAAAATATGACCAATGTGCTGTAGATCAAATTAGGGCTAATTCATTTTATCCAAACAATACCTCTACACTTGTGCTGCCAATCTTGAGAAAATATAGAATTTTCTGAATTGCCAAACCTCTGTCACAATCTCAAATCTCGAATTTCAGCCTTTGGATACTTGATATTCCCCGATGCCCATCTGCTTGCTATATTCTGGTTTCATTTTCATTAGCGTTCTGAAATAAGTAGCCCCTGAGTTAGTAATGCCTACCAGTTGTTCCAAGTTTACTTACCCTCTGACCCTCTTTTCCAGGTGGACCTTGGGGGCCTTGTATCCCCAGGGAACCCTATGAGGAAAAAGAGACACTTGTTAATAGACTGTTTCAAGTCCAGCTGCCTCACAAAGAATGTTGTGTAAATTAATAATTATTATGTAGATTAAAGCAAACCTTTAAAGTGATTTGAACTCTTTCAAGGTTAAACTATATAACATATTAATAAAGATGAATTGCCTTTCTTTGACTGGTTTATCTTTGAAGCTACCTAAGAAAAAAAGGCAGTCCCACATCAGGTGTGAGACCAAATGTTCACTGCCAGTGAAGAATCCCATATGATTGGAACCATGTTTCAACAAACCACCATAAGTAAGTGATAACAATATATGCAAGCAGAAAAAAAATACCTTTTTATACATTTAAACTCTATAAATAAAACTACATTTTTGGTTGAGAGTAACTTTGTAAGTGCCTTCTAAAAAAATGCATGATTATGGTGTTTGCATCGAACATGTATCTATCTACTCATAACACTGAACTTTTAATGTTAAAAATATTATTTACTGCTTTCTCATAATAATGTAGAGTGGTAGGGAAAATAAACATTCTTTTTTCAGATCATAAAGAAGTCCTAGGAAATCCCAGGTGGTGATCTGGAAGTCAAGTCTTCTGATTCTTATATTAGACAGAAATTCTTATTCCACATAAAATTAAAAATGATATTGCCATGAAACAAAAACTTCAGCAGTTATGACTACTTCTGTCCTGCCACTTCTTTCTTCCCTAATCAACCATTAAATGTGGGAGAGTTTAGTCTTATTTTCTTCTCAGTCCACATTCTCTCCCAGTGATTTCATATATTTGTGGGCTTTGGATTCTCTAGATCAGTGATTCCCAGATCTACAATTCCAGTTTATCTCTGAGCTGCCTTCTGACCCACCACCTGCTTGATGGAACCTCAGCTACCTCACAGGCATCCACAGTTTACCCCATCAAATGCTGAACTCAGGATCCTCCCTTCAAAACTAGATCCTCTTCCACTGTGCCCCAAATCAATAAATCCACATTCTCTTCATGCTCATGCCAGAAGTCTAGAACTCATTCTCCATACTTGACCCTCTCAAACTTCTCTCTCACATCCAGTTATCAAATCTTATTGACTTCATCTCCAAGATATGTTTGAATTCATCCATTTCTCTCCACTCCTGTTGCTCCCATGTTCTTGCTCAGCTGTAAGAGCTTCCTAGTTGACTCTACATACCCCTCCCTCCATTCTCATCACAGCCAAACTAATCTGAAGAAAACCATACTTAATCTTCCCTGATTTGCCACTTGGAAACAATGTCTTCTTTCAGTCTCTTAGTGCCTTGCACTTTTACTTTAAAGTACTTTCCACTAATTCATTTAAGTGATTATTCATGTAATGATTTGTTTCTCTCACCAGGCTGTAATCTATAATGCAATTGATATCTTATTCATCATGGTATGTGCCTGTTAATGGCCAAATGACAATTCATATTGGGGAACTCATCCACTCTAATATAAGTAAGTTTTTGGGTAAAGGCATTAATTTTCAAAGTTTTCCAAATATTTATGATTAACCCATCATCTATTAAATGCCTTAAATGATTTGAAACAAATGAAAAAACTGATAATACAAATGCAAATAAATGTAAATTTATTCCCCGAAGAAATTCTTTTGTTATCTAATTTAAAAATAATTAAGATTCATACTTATAATATGGCCTTTTTCTAAAAATTGATGGCTATGTTGAAACTAAAATACCAGATGTACTAATCATGATCCATAGTTACTTATTATGTATATATTCATTTTTAACTTTTTAAATATAAACTACATTTTCATAAATGTCGTACATGCATAATTTCACCATCTAATTTAACTTTAAATAAAAAAGTGATATACGCATTTTAATTTTTCATTCAGATGACATTCATTTGCTTAATATTCTCAGAATTCAGTATACATTATTGTAACTAATTTTTTTAAGTGTTAGTACAAAAAAAGTCTGTATATGTCATCAGTTCTAACTGTTCCTCCAAATCTTTCTTATTCCTTCTCCACAACAGTTGAATGAAATTTATGCGTTTATCACTCTCATATCTTTTATCTATATTAGGAGCAATTTAATGTTACAGGGGCATATGATGCCAATGTTTTATTGATTTAGGTAGGAATAAAAACCAAGGAAAAAAGTAATCAGTTCTGTTTGTAATTAAAAACAAAAAGACAACAAACCTGCCAAATGATATATAATCAAGTAATGTTGGATAACTAGGCCAAGTTTAGTATGGCAAATTCCTCATGTTTATAGGAAAAACAAATTTTGAAATTCAAACATACCAAGTATCAATTACAATATAATTACAGAGAGTTGTGTCATTTTTTTATAAGACTGAGACAATCTTGGCTCTAGATTAAACTCTTCTCTCCTACCCTTAGAACTATTTTTTTTTAAAGTACAATTTCCATTTTATTTTTCTCCAGAGAATAGTTGTCTTCAATCTTTTACTCAGCTCCTTCCATGGGTTTTGGTGAGGGTCGTGGGGCAGCACCCGCAGGTCTAAATCGGGGTGGGGGTGTTCGGTCCTTGTGGGCTTCAGGAGATCGATTCCTGACTACTTTGCTGTGAATTGCGCAACTCACACAGTAATGTAGCTTCACATAGAGCTTGGGAAGTACATAGGCATCAAAGACACTCGCTTCAGAAATATCCCTGACTGCTGCAGCCTCCACTATGTTTCGAATGATGAATTTCTTAATGGCCTTGTCCTTGGGCACTCATTGGGTACAGTTTGTGCAGCGAATAGGCTGAACATGGCCGCGGCCCTTTTTGGCACGACCGTTGTTCCTTCTTTTCTTTGTCATTTTGGAAGCTCGCAGCAGAGAAAGCCCCTTAGAACTATTATCATTTCATGAATAGTAAAACTAATATATAACAATTTTGATATTCTTCCAAATGCTGAGAGCTTATTCAGTCTTTTTAAACATGAGTTACTAAAACATATACATTCCAGGGAGTATACTTAATTCTGAGACACATATAATAAAAAATCTACTCCCTTTACTATTTAAAGAAATTATGTAGCAAAGTCTACTTAATACAAGAATATAATATTTGATTTTGAAGGTATTTAACAAATTCAAAAATATTTATGATAATCTTTTGTATGTGAGACCCAAGTAGTAAGATACAGTACCAACTCACATACGTAAACCACTTAAGTGCCTCCTAGATGTTCATGACTCTGATCGCCTCCTCCTCAGTTTTGCTGTCTAGGACCCAGCTAGGGGTTTATAAAAAATTGGGGAAATTCTTTTTTAATCCTTGATAAATCATTCACTATTTGAATGATCCATGACCAATTTGTAATTCTAGCCATGTTCTTCTCATCTTCAGAACAGTTTTGAGCAGAGTATAGAACATTAGTTGACATCGACAAAGTAAAAATAATTTTAATATTGTCATTAGTGAAACACAGATAAATTAATTGTAGAAAAATGTCTATTCCCAAACTAACAAATTAAAATCCTGAGAGGATTATTTATAATGATCCAGGTCACTGTTCCTCCCATTTAGTAAAGTCAAAAAGTGGATTTATCTATCACTTATTATGAAAATTACAGACATACTTAATCTCCAGTTTACCTAAATTGAACTTCGATGGAGCTTAGCATTTGTCTCAGAATCCCCTTCCACAGTTCTTCCTTATTCTGGCTTTGTAAAGGTCATTATGTGGGTGCTTTATTTATCCTTTTAGATGACTGTGAGCTCTAGAGCATCAGTCCTCAACCTTTTTGGCACCAGGGACAAGTTTTGTGAAAGACAATTTTTATGAACACTGATGGGGGCATGATTTCAGGATGATTCCACCACATTACATTTTTTTGTGCAATTTATTTCTATTATTATTACATTGTAATATATAATGAAATAATTACACACTTGCCATAACATAGAATCAGTGGGAGCCCTAAGCTTGTTTTCCTGCAACTAGATGGTCCCTTCTAGGAGAGATGGGAGACAGTGACAGTTCATCAGGCATTAGATTCTCAAAAGGAGCACACAACCTAGATCCCTCACATGCACAGTTCACAGTAGGGTTCATGCTCTTATGAGAATCTAATGCCACCACTGATCTCACAGGAGGTGGAGCTCAGGAGGTAATGTGAGCAATGGGAAATGGTGGCTGTAAAAACAGATGAAGTTTGCTCGCTTGCCCACCACTCATCTCCTGCTATGTGGCCCAGTTCCTAACAGGCCACAAACTGGTACTGGTCCATGTCCTGGGGGTTGGGAACCCCTGCTCCAGAGGATAGAAGCTCATTTTTTTTCTATCTTATACAACACTTATAGAAAGAACTCAATAAACATTTGGCATATTGTAAAGAATAAAACACCAAGTTAGAATAACACGGAGTGTTGGTGTTGGAGAACTGGCTTCTGCTCTTTATATAATTATTTTTATTTTCAAAATTTGGACTTAAATACCACAATGGAGAATTTTCAATTTTGTCTGTCTTCCTCAGTCTGAAGTGGTCATTCAATTCTCTGATGTCTATGAGTAAAATTGTCTTATAGTTCATTTACAAATTAATTATTTACCTACTGTAACATTATCTCTGTTGTAGAACTTACTCAAAATGTTGGCCACAAATGCTGTTTTACAGATTTAAATAAGTTATCCAGTTAGAGAATCATATTCTTAATTATCTTTGTACACATGGCACATTTACATAACCTGTGGATTTTTTCCTTCTCTGATTTAATTCACTGAAGAAAAATGCCTATCAATGCTTTCTACTTTTTAATCTACTTAGTCTGCTATAAAATAACTGTAAGTTGAGTTATTTCTAAAACTTTTCAAATATACATATTTATTACTTTTCTGAAAGAGACATTTGAGATTGGATTTAGCATTTTCATGATGTAAACATCTACATATGTCTACATAGTTATTCATTTTCCTTTTAACACAATTCTGGACATTAAAAATGTTGATGAATGAGATTCATAAGGCTGTTACCTCTTCTGTATAAGATAAAAATA